TTGGTCCTCCAGCTGTTCCTTATATGTACATTTAACTTTTCCGGCCTCTTATTGCTACCTGTCCCAACTTTTTTGGAATGTGTAGCTCTCATGAAATCCAAAATGAGCCAATATTTGGCATGTCATTTCAAAATGTCTCACTTTCAACATTTGATATGTTATCTATATTCTATTGTGAATAAAATATAAGTTTATGAGATTTGTAAATTATTCCATTCCTTTTTTACTCACAATTTGTACAGTGTCCCAACGTTTTTGGAATTGGGTTTGTACTATTTTAAGTGTTTTTTCTTGTTTATGTGAACGCTAAAGACCAAATTAAGGGAACGTTTTATATGATTGTTTTGCAAACATTAAGGGAATTTACTCTTGAATGTTCTTTAAACCACCTAAAACTGGTAAGTGGGAACGTTTATGAAACGAACGTCCATGTAACATTGAGAGAACCTTGCCAGAACGTTTTCTATTAGCTGGGAATATGATTTTCCATTTATTTTGATATTCATGATGTTTACATTATAAACAGAATATTAAAAAAAAAAAACAGAATATTATATGCAGAGGTGGACCAAGTACACAATTCCATTACTTGAGTGAAATTACAGATACTGCTGGTCAAATATTAGGCTACTCCATTACAAGTGAATGTTGCAAAGACAGATTTTTACTTAAGTAAAAGTACAGCTTTTAAAAGCACTCAAAAGTAAATTTCCCTTTTTATGTCAATGCACTGTATTGTTATTGTTGTATGTAATACCCGCAACCTCATGCTTCTGAAGCAACTTACAATATAATATACTGAATACACTATAAGTAATCTTGAAATAAAGAGCTTTTAGAATGTTAAAAATTATTAAACACCCCTACCCACCCACACAAAAGCAGGAGGGTAGTGATCATCTCACACAGCTCTGGCAGTGTGTGCACACATCTAGCCATTCATCTACATTTGAACCATGTTGACAGTGAAAAAAACTGCTTTAAAACCCAGCAACACAACTGTAGCTGTAACTTTACAATGGCAACACTGCTTTAACAAAAAAGCAAGATTTATTTGATATCAAAACATACATTAAAAACTGCTCTCTCGCTCTGGTGGTACTTTGACAGAACTGTGCAGTGCTGCTTCAAATCAAACACTTGTTGTGTTTTGGAGACGCTGTGGCTTTATAGGTAATATTTTCGTTTACACAATTTTCCAAAAGCAGACAATATATATACACCATAATATTAACTTCTTATTACTGAATTGTTGTAAATAAATATCACATTTGCATCTGGTCAGTGTTCAAAACATGCTGGGAAATCACTTCACATGGCCCTACAAGAGTGACTACTGATAGACTGTCTAAAGAAAAATTAAGTTTTAGAGAAGAAAAAAATCACCCACTGACTTTCAAAGCTGCTACATAGTAATGACTTTCTACTTCGAGGACCGTGATAGAAATGTAGTGGAGTGAAAAGTATGATATTTGTCTTTCAAACATAGTGAAGTTAAAGTCATATGAAAAAAAAATACTCAAGTACAGTACAGATACTCAAAAAGTAAATGTAGGCCTACTTCGTTACTGTCCACCTCTGATTATAGGCCTATGTATGTGTTGAATGGAGCATATTATTTTCCCTATTTATAAATAAGTGATTAAACATTGCTTACATTGACATTATGAGATTTGTTTTTATTATTATTATTATTTATTTATTTTTACATTTTAAGCCATTTTATTTTGTGTTGAAAGACCTGTTATTAAGGACTGGCAAACCAACATCATTCTGAAGTCAATGATTCACCATACACACAGAAACCTTAACCCACAGAAAATACCTTAGGTTTTTTTTTTTCTTTCTTGGTCTGTATTGATTATTTACGGTGGCAGAGAAGTGCAAAGCAGATCACAATACCCCATGTTTTATTTTCAACTTTTTGATTATTTCCTTAATTTTTATTGAAAATAAATGCCTTTACGATGTGATACGAGATTTGAAAAGGGAGGGGAAAAAAAGTTCGGCAAAAGGCGGGATCGAACCCGAGTCGATCGCATCAAAAAGCCAAGAGCACACACTTATCCATCTGCGCCACTGGAACTGATGTTTTACAGCCACTTTTAACTAAATGTAAATATACACCCCATATTTTTTATTCCAGAGTAAGTGCAATTCATACAATACATTTAAACTGAGCTACTTTACTACCATCTCCGAACTTTCTACCACGACTCTGCTGTTCTTCGGCTGGTTCTTCTCTGTATACGGTGATTGGCAGATGTCTCGTCCAGTAAGCGGTGAGAAATCCCAAACCAATGGCACTGTCTCAAACTATACCTACCTCTTCCGGTTTGTCTGATTTGTCGTTGTGTTTTCTGACTTGTTAATTTGTTTTCGAATTGTTGTTGTGCTTTCTGAATTGTTATTTTGTTTTTTAGACTTGCATTTGCGTTTGTAATTTGTTATTTTGTTTTCAGAATTGTGATTTGTTCTGCACTTCTCGGCCACCGTATAAAAGTCATAAGACATAAAAGTAAATGTAATGAAAAGTTCTGTCATTATTTTATTTTATTTATTTACTTTTTGCACATTTAATTTAATCACAATGAAAAACAATAATGTTAACACAAAATACTACAGCAATGGCCAAGTTTCTACAGTCAGCAGATAAAATAAATATGTTCACATACCTTGACTACAAATTTAGAAGACTGCATTATGATGAAACACTGCAAAAATCCAAAGAGAATGCGAGTACCATTAACAAAAAATGGTCACAATCTGATAACTTCTAGAGAAACCCAAAAATATGTTTATTGCTGAAAACATAGGCATATACAGTAATGAAACTCAAATGCATAGCGTGAAATACTCACGTGTTTGTGACAGATGCAGTTAGACGAAGTCAAAAGAAGGAAGGGCGGTAAAGTTAAAGCAGAGCTCACAAACCTTTCTTATGATATTGATGGGTTGTTTAGATATAATTTACAATATAGAATTGATTTATTTTTTAAATAAAACGACTCGAGGATAACAATAAAATAGCGATAATGAAAGAAGCTTTAATCATTTTCTCCCGCCGATGGTTTGAAACTTGCCCTCGGACGGTAGGACCCCGGCGCGTGCCGTTGTCATGGAAACACAGTCGGATTTAGGAGGCTGCATACTTTGCCAGACAGTCGCGTTCGTTGTTCCAAGTAAATTGTGAAATATCCATGATGATATATCGCTAAACAAAATTATAGTCTTTCATTTAATGTACAATAATTGCGATTTAAAATCCAATGAGTGTTTTAAGGGTTTCTGTTGTTAAATACTTTATAACTGGCATGTATTGGTCACCATATGATAACATGTTTTAGACTCTACCACGACTCTGCTGTTCTTCGGCTGGTTCTTCTCTGTATACGTTGATTGACAGATGTCTCGTCCAGTAAGCGGTGAGAAATCCCAAACCAATGGCACTGTCTCAAACTATACCTACCTCTTCCGGTTTGTCTGATTTGTCGTTGTGTTTTCTGACTTGTTAATTTGTTTTCGAATTGTTGTTGTGCTTTCTGAATTGTTATTTTGTTTTTTAGACTTGCATTTGCGTTTGTAATTTGTTATTTTGTTTTCAGAATTGTGAGCTGCTTTGCACTTCTCGGCCACCGTAATATTGAATGTAAATCATTACAGCGTTCAAATGAAGACTGAAATCTGACCTTTGATGTACAGATAAACCACACCCTAAATGATCTTATAGAAAAGGCCTACGTTAAAACTGATCTTGGGCTTTAAAAAAAAACTAAACAATGTGTTATTCATTTATTTCAAACAATGTGTTACAATGTGTTATTCGTAGAATCAATTTACATTTAGAAATATTGAGTCTGTACTGTGAAAAAATATATTCGGGGCTTTAAGATAAGATGTATTGTTGCATAAATAATCACACAGAGTTGCCTTTGTCATATTTATGTAATATGTCCCGCCCCTCGAGCGCATGGTTTGAATCCCTGACGCTGTGATTGGTCGATACGCCTGTCGCTCAAGCCATGTCTTACACAAGTGGGCGTGTGTATATAACAGCGGCGCGTTTGTATGCTTGTGTAAAGTGTAAAAATCGCTGGAGGAGACAAGGACGAATTTTACACCTGAAAGCAAAAAATAAACACTAAGAAAATGTCATCCGTGAATCTGACCAGCTTAGGAGCCAACCATGTGAAAAACACCACGTCTGGAGAGGTAATAATTCACATGCAATGTTTCTTTAAGTCATAATGAGCAGACTATACAGTGCTATGTTCATGTGCAAACTGTCATAATGAGCAGACTATACAGTGCTATGTTCATGTGCAAACTGTCATAATGAGCAGACTATACAGTGCTATGTTCATGTGCAAACTGTCAATGAATGAATTCCTAAACTTCAATAGTACTAAAGAAACCTGGTTCTTGAAAATAATACTTATTACGTTATATTCAAAATATTTAAATAACAATCTCAAAGTATTTTCATGAAAAATTAAACTTCCTGTTTTAATGATTCACATGGTGTCAGCCCTCTATATCACGACTTTGTAAATTAATGTCGTTTTTCCTCTTGATTGCATGAGTTCTTCTCACACTGCACCTGTTAAGATGTAAGTGATGTTTTTAAAGTGAAGACCCTTGGGAACAGTTTGCTTGATGTGATATAAACACACTCCAGGTGTAAATGAGAACTCGTTCACTGCTTGCAGGTGTCAAATGCAATGATGAAAACACATTCAAGTCTTTATAATGTAAACAACACTTCAAACCTAAGCAGTAGGGGGTTTCTTTTGGGGGTTTCTTGTTCTAATTGGGTACCTGTGCTGTAGTGTCTTTTAAAAATATGAAAAAAAATCTAATATTGAATATTATTAAATTAATATGAAATATATGGAAATGTAATACTTTTAAACATTATGTATGTAATAGATTTGCCTTCTGTAATATTTGATTTTTTTGTAAATTTTCAAAGGTGTTTTTCAAACCATATAAAACATGCATGTACTTAATTTAAAGGCTTACTGTAAATCAGTTTATTAAAATAAATCATTCTCACTCAGTAAGTCACTTAACCATCAACAAATAATGTCCATGAGCATTCATTTGTTTCAGAATCATGACTGTTACTTTTTGTTACATATGATAATGACAATTATATAGTCTCTTAATTATGAGATTACCAGTCATGTATAAAATAATTAGAAAATGAGTTTTAAATTACCTCTAGCACATCACTCTCATCGTCAGAGCATAATATAAAATATCAACTCCCCAAAAATGTAAATAAAGTTCGTTTCATCCATGAACTGGAAATAATGAAAGAAACATGGAAACCCATTCACTTTGAGCATGTCTTGTTGTCCACATCGTCCCTGTTCATTAGATGGTGGAGATTGGTTCTCTGTGGCGGGAGCAGACAGTTGTTCTCTTCTTCTTGCGGAGGTTTGGTTGTCAGGTGTGTCGGTGGAATGCTTGTGTAAAGTGTAAAAATCGCTGGAGGAGACAAGGACGAATTTTACACCTGAAAGCAAAAAATAAACACTAAGAAAATGTCATCCGTGAATCTGACCAGCTTAGGAGCCAACCATGTGAAAAACACCACGTCTGGAGAGGTAATAATTCACATGCAATGTTTCTTTAAGTCATAATGAGCAGACTATACAGTGCTATGTTCATGTGCAAACTGTCATAATGAGCAGACTATACAGTGCTATGTTCATGTGCAAACTGTCATAATGAGCAGACTATACAGTGCTATGTTCATGTGCAAACTGTCATAATGAGAAGACTATACAGAGCTATGTTCATATGCAAACTGTCAAATGAATGAATTCCTAAACTTCAATAGTACTAAAGAAACCTGGTTCTTGAAAATAATACTTATTACGTTATATTCAAAATATTTAAATAACAATCTCAAAGTATTTTCATGAAAAATTAAACTTCCTGTTTTAATGATTCACATGGTGTCAGCCCTCTATATCACGACTTTGTAAATTAATGTCGTTTTTCCTCTTGATTGCATGAGTTCTTCTCACACTGCACCTGTTAAGATGTAAGTGATGTTTTTAAAGTGAAGACCCTTGGGAACAGTTTGCTTGATGTGATATAAACACACTCCAGGTGTAAATGAGAACTCGTTCACTGCTTGCAGGTGTCAAATGCAATGATGAAAACACATTCAAGTCTTTATAATGTTAACAACACTTCAAACCTAAGCAGTAGGGGGTTTCTTTTGGGGGTTTCTTGTTCTAATTGGTTACCTGTGCTGTAGTGTCTTTTAAAAATATGAAAAAAAATCTAATATTGAATATTATTAAATTAATATGAAATATATGGAAATGTAATACTTTTAAACATTATGTATGTAATAGATTTGCCTTCTGTAATATTTGATTTTTTTGTAAATTTTCAAAGGTGTTTTTCAAACCATATAAAACATGCATGTACTTAATTTAAAGGCTTACTGTAAATCAGTTTATTAAAATAAATCATTCTCACTCAGTAAGTCACTTAACCATCAACAAATAATGTCCATGAGCATTCATTTGTTTCAGAATCATGACTGTTACTTTTTGTTACATATGATAATGACAATTATATAGTCTCTTAATTATGAGATTACCAGTCATGTATAAAATAATTAGAAAATGAGTTTTAAATTACCTCTAGCACATCACTCTCATCGTCAGAGCATAATATAAAATATCAACTCCCCAAAAATGTAAATAAAGTTCGTTTCATCCATGAACTGGAAATAATGAAAGAAACATGGAAACCCATTCACTTTGAGCATGTCTTGTTGTCCACATCGTCCCTGTTCATTAGATGGTGGAGATTGGTTCTCTGTGGCGGGAGCAGACAGTTGTTCTCTTCTTCTTGCGGAGGTTTGGTTGTCAGGTGTGTCGGTGGATGGCAGCGGAGGTCAGTAAACTGGAGAAGGACCTGAAAGCAAATGGTGTCGATTTGATCGGCATCGGACCCGAAGAGACGGGAGTGAAGGAGTTCAAGGATGGGGGATTCTTTAAGGGTGGTGAGGATTTGTTACATATCTTGGTTTATATTTTTGTGTTGTTCCTAATTTTTTAGTTTTACACTAAAGTTGCTCAAATATAGACTATAGTGAAAAATCTAATAAGTTAATTTTACCATCAAAATGCATTTGATTACATGTTGACCCAGAAGAGATGCTTAAACATTTCTAAAAATCCACTGTTTTTAGTATAGGAACCACATTTTGGAAATGTGTCAAGACTTTGAAAAACACATAATTTTTTTTTTTTCCATTTCTTTTAAATACATTTTTTTTACCTTAAAAGGCCGAGACAGCCGCCCACGGCTAAAATTAACTATTGTTCTTAAATGTTTAATACGTTTTGAGCCACTGATCCAATCAAGTCACGTAAAAAGGAGATTCTCTGCTTTTCGGAGATATTGCATTTGTCTCATTTGGACATTCATAGGCTCCGTAGTGAATGTGATAACGTCATTACATTTTGATCAGCATTAATTCATCAAAAGAAACCTATGCATTTTGTTCCTCTGAGCCAAACAAATGCTTAAAAATGCTACAAAAATGATGGTAAATACCGTGACAGATCACTGTATTGCCTCAGTTCAAGCGGCATGTGAACCGATCGTCTCTTCCTCTTTACTAGCTATAGCATGAAATAAACATGAATGAACATCAGAAGGTATCTTGTTTCAACTGCGGAAAGACATCAATACACACAATTTTTCAAGTTCAAGTCCACTGACATTAGTTTACTCTCCTGTCTGATTTGTTTGTTGGACAAAATGGTGGATTCGGCGCTATGATTGGTCAGATCGCCTGTCACTCAAACTCCCTGCGAAGGGTCAATTAGCATATTTCTTTGGAAATTTGAACAAGCGCAAAGTGAGCTCAGTGGTCCAAAGTCCTCTTTTCAGATTAAAATAAATTTTGCATTTCATTTGGAAATCAAGGTCTGGAGGAAGACTGGAGAGGCACAGAATCAATGCTGCTTGAAGTCCAGTGTGAAGTTTCCAAAGTCAGTGATGATTTGGGGTGCCGTGACGTCTGCTGGTGTTGGTCCATTGCAGTGCAATAATGGCACAATATTGCACAAAAGCAATAATATCCTTTGGGATAGAGTAGTCCTCAAACCTAGAAGTGAAGTTGGCCTGTATCTGCTTGATGAAGTCCACCATCAGCTCTGTTACTTGTCCCAGGGCCTATGTTTTTAGTGTACTGAAATGTAGCAGCCGGCCAGATGATATATCTGACTCCAGCTTCCTCGTGAATGATTCCAGTTTTTCAACCATGTCCGCTATGGTTTTGCCTGCAGATTAAGCTGGTTTAGGTGGCCAAATGTATCCGCTAAAAATGCAACATTAGATATTAATTTTTCATCTTCCAGGAGGGCAAGGTGATCAGCTGCTGCCCTAATCTTGCTTAATTTAATGAACGCCTTGACTTCATCCAGAAGCGGCCCAACGCGTTTCCTTTGCTTAACCAGCGCACGTCATTGTGTAGCAGCAAGTCATCGTAAGTGGCCTCTTCTGACTCAGCCACAAGTTGTCGGAAAAGACGATGCTGTGTGCTTGATGTTCCCCTGACAAAATTAATGACTCTCATCACTTTATCCATTACTTCCTTTAGCTCACCGCTGAGCATGGTGCAAAGGACACTCTGGTGGATGAGTCAGTGCAGTCCATGTATCTGGGAGGTGATCTCCTTCACTCTGCTTGCCAGATCTCTGTGCTTTCCCACCATAGCAGGAGCCCCCCGTCTGTCACGATTAGGTTAACCTTCTCAAATGACAATGAATGCAGCCTAAACAACTCTTCCAATTTAATAAATATAATGTCCCCAGTCGTGTGCCCTTCTAATGGAATAAGAGAAAACAGCTCTTCCTTTCCATCAAAGTATCTAACATAGACGCACATCTGGGCTACATCGGTGTTGTCAGTGCTCTCATCAATGGCTAGGGAAAAGTAGTTGGCCTGATTGAGACCATTGATCATAACTTCCTGCACAGCATCCGACAGCGCATCTATGCGCCGGGTAGTGGACCTCGCAGATAGGGGTAACAGTTTCACAGAGGCAATAATAGCATTCATCGACTTGTCAGTAGCCGCCAGTTCTTCCGAAACTGTCACCATAACCTCTTTGAAAACCTCTGCGTCAGTGAATGGCTGGTTGTGTCGTGCGAGCACCAGAGACGCTTTCAGGGGACGCACTTGTCACTTTCTGTTGATCTGTGAGGCCCCGCACTAGGATCCTGCTGTTGTGTGCATAGCTTGCTGTCAGTGCTTAAATTTTGCACTTTCGTGCCTCTGTTTGGAGCGGAAAGGCCACTTTGAAGGTGCCATGCTTCGTCTCGTGGTGCCATCTAATATTATATTCTTTGCAAACAGCAACAACTTCATTGCAGATAAGACACACCGGCTTTGCATTCACAAAACTAGGATGAACGCATAGTTGTCTTTCCATTCTTCTTTGTATGCTCTGTTTTCGCTGTCAACTTTCCTCTTTAGACTCTTTGATAGTGCCATTTTCTCTCATCAGCTAGCTTAAATGTTAACACCACTCTGCACGCGACGTAACAGTGTACCTCCAGCACGCAAACAATTAAAAAAAATGCAGTTTAGTACGTGAGGATTCCAAGGAATAATTCTGAGTGTAAAAGTAGGCTACATCAAATAATTATTACAATAAGTTAGGCTCCATTGTGTAACAAGCAAATTAAAATGATACACGTTTATTATTCACAATATGGAAAGAGTAAATAAAACATAGTTTGTTAAGAGCATAACTCAAGCAGGTTATTAATGGGCTTATCCAAGTCCTCTTTTATTTTTTTATTGTTTTTTATCCATTCCGCATCTCCCACATATGTGTGTGTTAGCAAGGCGGTCTGTGTTGCAAGTCGGTGAATGAAGATACTTGCCAGGTTATGTGTCACTACTCTGCTTTATTAATTTATCCAGTGTAAAATCCGGACACCACCACACAAATGTGGCTTTTTGTTAATGACTGTCCTACTACAGGATTTAACACAGAGTATCAGCTCACTACCAGTTACAAAATACACTGTACAGACGAGCTGAAGGCTGCTATCAAAGTAACCTGGGCTTCAATAACACCTCAGCAGTGCCACAGGCTGATCGCCTCAGAATTAACCATCAGAATTAAAAAAACTCTTGAAATATTTCAGTTTGTGTGCAATGAATCTAGAATATAAGAAAGTTTGCTTTTTTGAAATAAATTGCAAAAAATAAAGAACTTTTCCATGATATTCTAATTTTTTTAGATGCACATGTATATTGTCAATAAACTAAATAGACCTTTCTTGCACTGAAATATTGGGTTTCTCTCTCTCTCTCTCTCTCTCTCTCTCTCTATATATATATATATAATAAAAGATAGAAACATTTAAACCTGTAAATAAAAGGAAACTATGAAAAATAAAACAACTTTTAATTTCTTACAAATGTAAAAAATAATATTTTTAAAGAGATATAAACATTTAAACCTGTAAATAAAATTAAAACAGTAAAATAATGCATGGTATAATGTTATAAAAGGTAGGCAAATTATATCAGATTGGGCACTATTTATAAATGCATGTAACTGAGTAACACTGATCATGTGACTGTACAGACTTTCTTGCTTATATTGAAGCCCAAGATGCTCAAATTCTGGAATCACACTGGATTCAGGTTTTGTTAATGCAAATGCATTACTTTGCATTCCTTCTTGTGAAATAAGTGATAACCTCAGGTTAAGCACATTGTGTGTGTGTTTAGTTTTGAATTTATTGGTGATTGAATTCCTGTCTTTTACTGTAATTCTTTGACCTGTTACTATGGCTACCATGCCTGTGTTTACCTTGGCTATCATTACCATCTTCCTGATCCTGTGAATCTTTAACTTTGTCTTTGTTTTAGACATCTACATTGACGAGAAGAAACAGTGTTACAACGATTTAGGCTTTAAAAGGTACGAGGGAACTTGCAATATATGTTTTCATTAATATTTTTTTTTTGAATGTGTATGATGGACTGTGACACAAGCATGTCAAAATGAACAAAAATATTTCTGTTTTTCAAACTCGGGTACAATGCCTTGAATGTGATTCCAGCTGCTATGGGAAAGAGCGTACGAGAAATTGCCTCAAAGGTATTTATAACACATTACACGTTGCGCTTGTAAATTATAATTCTGGTATAATGAGACTTAGTGATTAAATGACTTATTAGGTGTCTTATTTGTAAACATTTTTTCATAATGACCTTATTCATGAAGAAACAAACTTATCTATATCTTTAACGGCCTTAGAGTGGGAAAACTATCAGCAAATCTTCATTTTTGGGTGAACTTTTCCTTCAAGAGCTCTAATTCAGCAGTCTTAACGAGTACTTCAGCAAAGAGTTGCATTGCTAAATTGTTGTCATTGTTAACTTGTTTTGGATAAAGATAATAAAGCATATTTTAGGATCATTAAGTTATTGTGCAATGTGACATTATTTTCAAGAAAATTAAACATGTTTACCCCCAATTCTCATCACTTGAATGCAACTGGATCTTTTTCGTTGCTGTTGTTGTTGTTTGCAATTCTCATTAATTTCTTGATGATTCTCATTATATTCTCATTACTGTAACAGAGTAATGAGAATATTTATGTCCAGACACAATTATGTTTTTCTAGTTAAAATCTACTTAAGTTAAATTTCTGTTCAAACAGGTGTGTATATATATAACATGATCTTAACGGCCCGAGGCACCACGGCGCACCTGGGCGTGAGATTACAGAGGGCTCATATAACGGCAAAACCCACTAAAACCAACGGATGCATTTCCCCAGGCTGCTATTTTTGATGCTGGTTATTACAGGGGTTTTTTACACGAACGTGTGTGTAGCTCTTAACGTCACGCGCGGTCTGAGGTAAGGAGTTTTACGGTGGTATCCTGGAGGAAATGACACTTTTGGCCTTTCTCTTCCTTGACAAGCTCAAGATGCTAAATTACTAAATTACTAAATTAAATGGTGAATGCTGCTTCATGTGTGTCCAACCTAGGAAGCAAAAACTTCCTCTACAGAAAATCTGCAGAGAAACAGAAGAAATATACAGAAACTGATTGTTAGATTAACCTTGTAAAACCCTTTTTTTTTTTTTTTTTGGGGTTGCGTATCATATTTGATACATCAGACTTTTATTTACAGACTATATATGATATAATGAGAATATGGAGCTCATACTCGAGGAAGAAAAACACAATTTGCCCAATGCTGAGCAAAAATTTGCCAATTTGGTGCAGATGCTGATATTTATATGCCAAAAAGTAACTAATTCTGATAGCTTATGTAAATCAGTAACAGTCTACTTAATATAAATATTGGAATATTAACAAATAAACATTCCTCAAAAGCCTGATGGATCATATTTGAACACATTTTAACATGATTTTTCTAAGATGCTAAGGGTTTATCTTGAAATATTGTTAACAATATAAAAGTTATTCTTGCATTTACTTGATAAAAATCTAAAGATTTCACAGCAAAAAAACATGTGAACAATGACCTGAAAGGCGACATTTTTATTGTTGATTTCATGCAAGAAAGACATGCATGAGTAAATAATTCTAGAAACAATGTTCCAACTGAGCTTTTCCTTACATTACCTTTATTTCCAAGTACGGTCACTCCAAGAAGTATTTGGACACATAAAATAGTCTAAATGTCTTTGCATTACATGAGAAATTATGTTTTCCTCTAGTTTTCTGGCTTGCATGCACAGGGCTCCAATAGTGTGGTTTGTTAATCAACATCTTGCAACAATTCAGAGATTACACCACATTGTTTTTCTTCTGAATGACAGTGGTCTAGAAATAAATGACCAGGATTTGGTTTGATGAGATGTGGTTTAGTAGGGTAAATGTCATATGAACCAGTAAAGACACATAGAAATGTTCTGAAACATGTTTGTGGTCCTTCAGACAATGCGTTGAATGCCGAAATAACTGAAGAATGTGGCATTTTTTCATGGAGTGGTTTCTTCTTACAAGGGGTTGTTGTAATTTGTAAAATAAATAAGTCTTATTAAACCGTAAAACAAAAGCATAAAACTATACCGTGCTGATTTTATGAATAGTTATAATGAGTAAATCACTTGAGATGCCAACCTGCAACCAGTGCTATTTAGGATCATTGATATACTGTTGTACTTTTTACTGTATATATGGTTTCATTTTTAAATTAAAGTGAAAACTGAAAATATAAGCTTAAGTTTTAGCATTTTTTTTTTAAATGTCTATATAGGATTTATTACTTTTTTTTATTACTTTTTTAATTTATTTTATTTAGTACTTTTAAAGAAATTGAGAAATATTGCTTTGGAAAATAATTGAAATAAAATAAGTTTAATTTTATAATTGATGTTGTTATATTTTAGTTACCGTATATTTTATTTCAAGTAACAAAAACTATTTGTTAATCAACAAATGTTAGTGGCTTTGGTTTTAGTTTTAATTCACGATAATAACCTTGTAATTGCAACAGATTTGTAGCTTCTAATTGTTGAAAAATATATTTAAAAAAGTTTTTTTTCTTTGTGAGCATACTAGATAGTATCAGATCCGTATAACAATTCTGATTGCAAAAGTCAAAAAAGAGTTCATTTCATCGTTTTCGCACACTATATTTTTTTGGAATGCTTTTTTTCTGCACTCGTGGTCTCATTTGTTTTACTTCATGCCGAAGTCAAAAGTCTGGTTTTCAGAAGGATCCATTGTGTCACACCACACCCCTAAAACTACCAAAAGACATTTAGTCCATCCAGAGAATAATGTATAACAATTCTGATTGCAAAAGTCAAAAAAGAGTTCATTTCATCGTTTTCGCACACTATATTTTTTTGGAATGCTTTTTTTCTGCACTTGTGGTCTCATTTGTTTTACTTCATGCCGAAGTCAAAAGTCTGGTTTTCAGAAGGATCCATTGTGTCACACCACACCCCTAAAACTACCAAAAGACATTTAGTCCATCCAGAGAATAAACATGGTGTCATTCAGCAGCAAATCTCAGAGCAGATCGGCCCCAAGGGTCTTCTTGCACCACCTCAGGAAGGAAAGGGCCCAACAGACACAGTCAAGAGCCCAAACCCAGTGTCGTCACTGGATGATAGGGGACAGTCTCAAGGGAAACGTGACGGGGGGATTGAGTAGACTTCAGACACACTCAGAACAAAAAGGTACAAAGCTACCCTTGATTACATGTAATCAGTTACTACCCACCACTGCTAATATGTAGACTTTAGATACTAATATGCACCATTTAGGGGTAAATAAGATACAAAGATGTCTCTTTTGGCTTTTGTATCTTGGTCTAGTCCTGGTGACAGCTTTTTTCTGAGAGTGTGGGTATTCAATAACTGATCTGTCGAAGGCATTATGGTTTTGAAAGAGCCTCACACAAACTTTCATAACCTCAGGGAAAACTTGTTTTCTTTTCTTTATATTAGTTTATTCTTTGAATAGACTAAAGGTCTTTTGGCAGTTTTGGAGCCGTTTACACAGAACTTTTTTTCCATTCCAATGCGCTTCTTTTCTATTGATTTTCTATGTAAACGCACACTATATGGACCTGTTTAACCGTTGCGCTCACGTCTTGTGTCTTTTGCAGCGTCTCGCACATAAGCACTGTGTTTTTAAGACACCGTGTCAAGTTAAAATAATTGACCCTTTGCAAAGACCCGCCAAACTTAGTTACTGTTGCTATGTTTGTCAAGCCTTGCCGCTCTCACACTACTCATCATGTTCTCACGCAGTGAAAAATACATCGCGGTGACACCGATCGTCTTTTCATATTTACTTAAAGCACAAAATAAACATGAATGAACATCAGAAGTTAATTTAGTTCAACAGGAAAGACGTCAGTAAACTTTTTTACAAGTTTAAGTCCACCAAAGTTAATCTACTCTGATTTGTTTCCACAAAATGGTGGATACAGCATTATGATTGGTCAGATCGCCTGTCAATCAAACTCCCAGCAAAGGGTGAATTTCAATTTTGATCGCAAGCGGGGTGCGAGGCCCTCTGCAATTTGTGTGTGTGTGTGTGTGTGGGAGGGGGGGTTACTATAGTAACGAACGCAACTTTAACACGCATCTGATCGATTGTGATGCCGTGCTCACTGACATGCTTGCGCACGAATCACGGTCACGCACACGCTCATAAGAATTGTAAGATCTACTGCATAATAATAATAATGCAATTAAAGGATTAAAAGTTATTTAAGGGAATAAGTAAATAAGAATGCTAAAATAAGTTCTGGGTTTGTAGTTCTATATGGAGTAGTAGTCAATTTACACTATTTGAAAATAATATTTTATTTTAAAATGTGCACGTTCACTCTTATTCGTATGTCTAATAGTTGAAAACGTAAACGTCTCGTCACGTCCATTTATGATTTACATGAATCATGATCGCATATTTTCAATTCAAAACGGCGAAATTTTATAAAAAGTTTAGTAGTTTGCATCACTATATAGTCTATTACTGTGAAATACGCTGAACATTTCTATCGTAAAACAGTTTTCTAATATAGTACTACTTACATCTTTCCACGAACTCTCGTTGCGTTGTGACAGTAAGACTTCTTTGATTTGATTGGCCATCTCTTATCATTTTGACATTGACGAGCGCTGTTGGACCACTGAGGCAGACCAGCCTAAAAGTTTAACTTTTAAAACTTTTTGTCATCCTAACAACAAACAGCTTTACTCATTCTTATACACAGAGTCTTATACTGTCTATCAGCATGACTATTTTAGTCTTTCGAAGTACAAAATGGGTGGAAAAACGGTCTGATGAAAACAACATAAAATGCAGGCCAGGAGTGAGGCCCTCTAGAGGCGCGAGGCCCTGTGCGGTCGCACACTTGGCACAGCCCTTGCAAACGGTACTGCACACAGTAATACCAGTAACTTGCTGTAAAATTACTGGAACGACTTTACCAGTAAATTCAAAAATGTGCTGTTCACACAAGCAACGACGTTCCGTCTTTTTTCCGGTAAAGCACATCGTTTCAAGTTACCAGTAAACTGTACGACATCATTAACCAGAAATGACCTCTAAACGGCAGCGCCTCCCGGTGTTGTGTTTGTAAACATGGAGGGGTATACGCTGTGTTTTTGTTGATGTTTTCATTTTTGTGTCAAACGATCACATTCATTCAGCACTTTTGGCCCAGAGACGTTGAATTGCAAGACTTGAAATCAAACTACACAGCACGTAGTAAATGCGGCATCTGCATCAAAATGTTATGATTGGCCCAGAGCTGTTGAATTTTGAATTTCAACAGCTCTTGATCGGTCCAGAGTAGACGTCTTACGTCAGCA